TATCATCATCACTCAATTTGCAATGTCCTAAAATAAATTATAATCAACAAATTGATTATAACTCGCTCCTTGCATGTTAGAAAAAATATGGCTGACGATTATTAGAATCATGTCTAGGTAAATTGGCGCAATACGATACATTGTTCTCTCCAATTCTGACGGCTTAGCGAGGGTAGCGACAGCCGTGATTTCTTTAAAATATTCGATTTAGTTTGGTACTCATTTGGTTGCAGTTCCGGTCAATTTCAAAAATCGACGTTCATCTTTCATCTAAAGAATGTTACGCTTGTCACTATCGATACATTATCTACAGGTGGTTTATCGCCATCAAAGATTATCACTAAATAGTTAAACGAGAAGAAGTGTAAACAGCGCCCATCATGCCAGTATTATATTGAAGAAGATGATGGATGTCTACACATGACTTGTGAAAATGTTGTGCAGAATTTTGTTGGGAATCTTTAGCAATGAAGAGCAATAGAAATACAGGACATGTTAATCATTAGGCTACATGTTATTTCGTATCACATACTGTAGCTCAACGCCCTCAACTCTCAGAATCTCTTGAAGACACTAATGTAGATGTCCTCAGGTTGTACCTTGTAGGTGTACCATTGCAGATGCCTCTGGTTGTGTACCTTTGATAGATATCCTCTGGCTGGAATTTTAGTTTGATGGCCGACTTCTTATTCTATTTGACTATACACTTTTAAAAGCTAGCGATAAGCAGTCAGATCATTGTTTGTTGTTGCGAAGCCGAGAGATACTTCTCGTCAGTCTCAAAATTCTTTTATGACCTTTTGACTGGGCTTTATCTGTACTGAATAAATTTGTTTTTATGACGAAAATAAACTGTTTTTTTCATCTTTGTACCAAGTTTCAATAATAAATTTAAATATTTCATTTGATTTTGCTCTCTTTCCAATGATTAGACAACATGATTTAAGAAACGCCATAATATGACCTAATCTATGTTTACCTAAACAAACATCTTATTCAATTCTCCACACAAAATTAGACCCACTTAAAAACACGAAACTGAAACAATTTTAGTCTTTTGGATCATTTTCTACATTACGTATATTCCCCCGAAGCCACTACCGTTTTCTTCTAAACGGGTGAGAGAATCGCTTAATGCTTTGAGCATAACTCATAAACGGATCAGGTTAAGGTTAAAATTACGTAAAGTTTTCTAAGTATGCAACAGGACTGGGGGAGTCAGGATGGGTAGATTGTTTTCCAAAGACTTCAAAATTCAGATGTTTGCATGTCCAATTCGACCACCTAACTTTTTATATAAGTAAACAGGAAAATTTTGATTTTTTCAACGTCACTATGGCCTATAGACGCACAGTTACTCTCATTACGCATTATGGTTATCACAGCAGCTTGCTGATTTTTTGATTGAAATATACAGTGCAAGTCAAAGTCCACCATCGACCCCAAACTATGAAATTTCTATTCAACTATTGTCAGAACAGTATAGGTAAATATTCAAAACACTGCTGTTTAATGGTAAATGATTATTATGAAAAAATGTAATATTTGTTACTGCTCAGATAATACACGATTCTAATATAACCTTGAAAAAAATCTGAGATTATGGTTTAACCTGTCTTACTAAGATCTTAACAAAAGTCTTATTAAATCTTAGAATTTTCGGGTCTCACGATCTTAGTAAGATTTGTCTAAGATCTTAGACAAATGTAAAGGAAATCTTACTAAGATTATTCTGAGATCTTAGCAAGATTCGCCTAAGTTTCTCACTAGGGATATTTGGAAGAAAATGGTAGTGGCTTTAGAGAGAAAATCATAACGTAGAATATATCCTAAAAGGCTAAAATTGTTTCAGTTTTGTGTTTTTAAGTGAATCTAATTTTGTGTGGAGAATTCAATAAGACGTTTGTTTGGGCAAACATAGATTAGGTCATATTATGGCGTTTCTTAAATCATGTTGTTAAAACATTGGAAAGAGAGCAAATCAAATGAAATATTTAAATTTATTACTGAAAATTGGTACAAAGATGGAGAAAACCAGCTTATTTTCGTTTGAAGGTAGTGTTACATCAATCGTGGATTTTGTGAATGATAATATCTTTTAGCACTTAGGCAGTTTACTATTGCCCGATTGAATGAACGCATCATTTGCTGTTTGAACACAAAATCCAGTGTCTTTTCGATTAAGAATTTCAGCATAATGACGACGTCCATTTCCTTCCTCCGAGTATGAACAAGATACTAATATATCCGTTAAACCATCGCCATTCAAATCAACAAAATGACAACAATTGATTGCAACTGGTGCTTTATTCGATGTTGCCATTATTGTACAAAATAATGTACCATTGGTCAACAGTAACATGTTCAGCAAAACAATTACAACTAGAAACATATAATTCCAACCAACCTGTGCCATTGTATGAACCTAAACTATGAACAAAAAATCATTTAAGCTTTTCAAGGTTAATCCTTTACTTTATTATCGATACATGCTTTTATCATGGCGTAGCGTTTCTGATGTAGTCGATTTCTAATCCATTTTTACGATTGCACAAGTTAGCCCATGCGCGCTCTATCGTCTCCACTTCTGTTTGAATTCTAACATTTTTCTCATTAAAATTACCTGCGATGCATGAAACATTTTTGCTCTTCACCCTACAACCTAACGTTCAAACTTTGCCAGATCATGCAGAACACTCAACTACATAAATGTTGAAATGTTTATAATTTTTATGAAGGCTTGTCACAGTATTAACAAACTTAACACTTTGAACACGTTTCCTTTCAAAGTTAAAAATTATTTTCTGAAAGCATCCCAAAAGTTTTCGAAAGAATATCACCTTTTAGTATTTTCACTCCAACTTCTTTAAGATAAATCCAGTTTTTTGGCCGATACCCGATGTAAAAACTGAACAAAACAGCATATTTAGATATTTTGTACCTTCTTATTTGTAGATTTTTACACCCAAATTAATGAGAAACCCAGCTTTCGAAATAGTCAAGTTTTTCACAAAAATCGTGTATAAAACAGTCGAATAAAAACTGAATTTGCTAGAAATACGTTGTTTTGTAGAGCTAACAAACTAGATCAACTGAGCAAAAAGAACTGAAAAGCTCCCGGCTGAAAATGTGATAGAATCAGACTATCTCCTAATAAGTCGTCATACTAATTTTTTAATACGCTAATTTTCTTTTTCATCTGGCACGCGAGAGCTGAAATTTTTTCTAAATATTCTCTGTTTGTAGAACTCAAATATAACTAGAGAAGAACTGTGTGAACATGACCTACTTCAAACATTTGAATTATTACTTACCTTCGATAGACCTGATCAAAAAATAAAATTGCCTTTGGAAAATAGACTAGAGAAAAAATGTGTGTGAATACAATTATTTACCGTAAGTATATACAGCTGTATGTAAGATTTGTTCTTCTTTATTTTTCAAATGTCACTTTCTCCTATTACATCATCTATCAATAGTATATGATGGCATCATAGAAGCTTTATCAGAATAAATGATAAATAAATCCGTACATATATGCCATTCAAAACAAAAATCAGATGCACAAATGATTTAGAGATTTATTTCAAGGTTATCGAACATTTCTTTTTGCCTCCTCACATCAGTTTAATCAAGATTTCTATTTCTTTTAATAAAGAGTCGGCTACACGATTCCTGATATGTTCTCCTAACAAGCACAATATATTTGCAAGTTAAAAAAAATTTAAAATGATTAATATTATCTCAAAAATAACTCCAATCGACTTCCCGTGGGATTCTCAAACAATCATACTGTAAGATCTTACAAGATTCTTATATGATCATACAAGATCGTACTTCAAGATCATGTATGTTCTTGCAAGATCGTACGAAAATTATATACGATCTTGTACGATTTGGTATGAAAATCATTGTCACCACGTACCAGACGAATATCGTACTGTAAGATTCTTGTAAGATTTTATTACAAGATCTTGTAACATCATATACGATCGCAGAAGATCATACTGTAAGATTTCTGCAGTATTTTATACGATTCTCTGCTGCATCCTGCAGTCGTTGGCCAGCTCCTTGCGCTCTACTTTACTTGTTTTCTTTGTCGAATGCGTACGTACATCATTCCGGCAACATCAACGTACTTTTATTCACTGATATTCCAAACATCACGTGCAAATCATAGTTAATCACACGCATTTACAAAAAAATAGAAAAAACACAACTTGACCAGGATCTGTTTCGCCAGTAAAAGAAAGCAAGAAAAAGACGTGTTTATTTTTGGACAGTCACCGTGCATCTAATTAATACCCTGGCGTTAAAAATCAGTATAGCAGTTTTAGGCTTGATTATATCATGTTTACTCCGACTTTTCTTCGAGAACATGATGTAACCAGTTATTGAGGTTTTTATCGATCCTATGTCTTTAAGACCCCACAATCCAATCTGCAAAACAATATATTTTTTACGGAAGAGCTCGCTCATACATCAAAGTGAGTACACCGCCTGGTTCTCACAGTGGCGTAGCTAGGATTTTTCTAAGGGAGGGGTCCAACATTTTCTACCAAATCGAAAGTTTTCTATTTGTTCCAGTGCAAATTAACTTTCCAAGGGAGGGATCTGTGAACCCTAGACCCCTCCATTGGCTACGCCACTGGTTCGCAACTACATGCGACTAATAGTTGATCTCAAAATAAAGGTGAGAGAGACTGATGTTTTATAGTTTTTCTATGAGTATTACTGATCAGATAACAT